AGGAATGCCACCCAGGGAACACTACCTGCAGTAGCACAGCTTTGTTCTCCAGCCTAGGTGCAGCAAGGGGAAGAGGGCCCACTGTGGAAAGGAAGCTTATGCTGAATTTGCAAAGCCTCTGCAGGATCTAGTTGCTGCCAGGTAAACTCCCAGTTGCCTTCCTTATACATAATAGGAAGGGGCTATTGGAATGGCTGTGACAGAGACACTAAGATGACAGTGTCTTTGGGACAGGATATTCCAGAGATCACAGGTATGCAGTGAGCTCCACAAAGAGCTTGAAGAAGGTATTTTTCTATTTCCTTCCAATTAAGCTAACACATTTTGCTGTATGGGTTACGAGAACTTAATTCTGGAGTGACATCTTGCTGACTCAGGATGACTGCGCAGTAAGACTCTATCAAGAAGCCAAACTTGAAGAGGGGAGGGAGTTCTCCCTTTATCCAGTATGTATGCTTTTAGAACTGGAAGAGCCATAGGCAAACTAAGAGCTGTGTGATGAACATTTTCCTGCAAACCTTTTTACTTTCCTGCTTTGATGGACAAATTCCTGTTCAGCTGGGAGAGACCCACAAAACAAAAGCTGTCCAATTCCATTTGGAGAGAAGCAGAAATCATTTGTCAGCAATGTCCTTTCCTGCCAGTACAGTGAAAAACAGCACCATCGAGCTCTTTACTACAGGAGGCCAACAGTTACTTAACCTGTTTGCAAGGAAGATCGGCTCTACATACTCACACACACACACACGTGGACAGATGGGTACACCGCTGAGGGAGATGTACTGTCAAACCCATCAGGAACAAAACCAGACAGCATAGAAAATGCTTCAGTTAGGGCCTCCCCCATTTCTGGGATGAGTGCTGTCAAAATAAGAGGCTCCACCTAAGTAACAAATTGCCTCCTTTATACTCCTTTCTGTGGGTTGTCTCCTTGCATGAGGAACTGTGAGCCTGCATCTGATGGGCTGTTACAGAAGAGACGTTTTTAATAAAGAGCTGTGACTGTGAGCTGCATTTCTGAAATTGCTAGAGCAATGAGAGGCAGCTGTACGGACTTCCTCAGCATCACGCTGCCTTGGTGTTTAAGGATAATCTGAAAAGCCAATGCAAGGGCAATTCTGACTGTCCCACTGGAGTCAGGGAGCACTCACCTGGGCTGAGCCTGCAGCTGACTTCCATGGCTGGGTTCCACTCTCCATTCTTGCAGGTCAAGTACTTATAATCTCCTTTCAGCACGTAGCCTTCAACGCACAGATACTCTATGACACTGCCCGAAGTCAGAGGGTTGTTGCAGGGGCTAGGGTGGCATTTATAGCCTCCATTCTCAGGCTGCGGTGGCTGGGGACAATCTGGAAAAAAGAAAAAAACATCATGGAGGATATCTCAAAGGAAAACATCTGTTGCAAAACAGATACAGCATATAGGCAGACTTCCACCTATGAACCACTAAATTAAGAAACTACCAAAATGGCGAAGACTGTTAGACAACGGCAGAGAATGCTGCTCAGTTTCACCTTTGATATGTCTTCTGTAATTGCTAAATCCTGCTTGTTATCCCAGTCAGCAGGCATCAAACTGGTGGTATTTTTGAACTGTGACACAACAGAGATTCCACATGAGTGAGGCCCAGAAAATCCTTGGTGCTATCTTTTCCTCACAGCTGCTTCACTAGAGACTGGGGGGAACCTAACAATCAGGCTTTCCTATTAGCCTGATATGGAAAAAGCATGAGACCTCCTACCGAAATGAATGAAGAATGCAGACACCCTACTGTACTATGGGTACAATGTCAAGGTACAGAGCTGCCCCATAAGGCACCCTGGAAGCCTGTAAGAGCATGCTGATTTCAGCTATTTTACATATATATACCACCAACAGCATGGGGAACAGAGCTTTGCTGCAGTAGGACCAAATATTCTAGCCTATTTTTAAAAAGGACTTAGTTATATTACAAAGACATTTCAAAAAAAACTCTGTTTACCTATTTGAAGTCTGGAGTGCTGAAGGCACTTTACATTTCTCCTTGCATCTCCCCTATCCTGACTACTGGGTGTAGACATAGCACATGCCAGAAATTTTCTTGTAGAATTTTCAATAGCCATTCAAATAAAAACAACAAACCATGAATGAGGAAACTGCACTAAAAACATATTTGTATTGCTTAGCATTTCCTCTCCCCTGGCAGGTCACACTGACCCTGCATAACAGCCCCAACATCCCCCACTGATGCCACATACCTGCCGGGACAAAAGAGGGAAAAATCCAGATTTTTCCCTTTAAATCCACATCAGCTTCCCAAACTTCACAAAAGGAAATACTTCAAAGACCCCTCTTGAGTATTTTTGGGGCATCAAAAACCAGCCAACCCACCCACCCTATTCCATCACAGCATGGTGATCCAGGCCTGCCCTTAAGCCCTGGATGGAGCACGCGTTCTCACGTTCTGCCTCTAAGTGTCCCACTTATTGAGGGATAAACAGCGAGAAACAGCTGGGCAAAGTTCAAGTAACTGGATTTTGGGCAAGATTTAAGAAGCAAAAGAAAACTTTAGAGATTCATTCCACTGTGGAAAAATTTGCTACACTGCTGCCAGTGCAAGTGACCCTTGAACCTGATCACACGTGTGAATGCATCATAGGTAGGTGCCTTATAATGCCAGTAAACCCTGAGATGAAGTGCTGAGCGAAGCCAAAAACCCTCTGGTATGAGTTCTGCCAGCTTTATAACTGCAATTCAATTTACTTCTTGAGAGAAAAGGTTAACAGGGGTCTAAGCAGCAGCTTTTCAAGAAGACTTTGTTCTTGAGGAGATTTATTCTTAAATAAGTTTCAGAGAAGCCACTGTACTGTGCCTCATGAGTATTAACTATTGCCTCTTCTGTGTTTCTTTACTTTTCCTTTCTGCAACAATTTCCCATCTTGTAACCAATGTTTTAACCCTTCGCCTTATGAGGCTAAAACTTGCTTTCCCTTTAAGCCTGTCCAACACTTAGGGTCAGCTGGGATCAGCTGAATCGACAGATTCATGGCACATTTCACATTCAGGCACATAGACAAATGCCCTGCTTCACCTGCAGCCCAGGAGAGGGGTTTCTTGCTAAATTGCAAAGACCCATTTGAGTGCCAGAAATATTCTCAGCAGTTTAACACATACCTCTCTAGGCAATGGTAGAGAGCTGTGGGGAAAAGGTACTGTTGCCACAGCAGCTGCTGAAACCCAGGAGCAGACAGGACAACTTCGCTACACCTTTTTATGTCACAGGAGCTACCTGGAATTGTTTGGGAGCCACGCACAGCATCTTTCTCCTAACTGATTGCAGCAAAAAGAGCTCGTTCCCTCTGTTCCCCCTTCTCCTGAGCCGTACCCATGTGCGGCCGCTGCACCAGAAGCCCTTCTGGACCAGGCAGCAGGTCACTGCTCGGTTCCCCTTCTGTGGGGCACTGTGAAGTGCCACATACGCTGATGAGGTTTCCAAGTTAAGTACAAAAGTCAGCCAGCCAACAAGAAACAAACACTTATTTACATTGCAGTAGCACTCTCAAAGGCTTGGAAACACCACTGCATCAGTCACCTACAGAACCCTGACTTGGCCTCCTCCCGCAAAGGCTTCAGGAGGAGATGCACAGCTACGCATCTGCAGATTGGTTTCCCCCTCACCTCCACAGGTCACTTGGCACACAAAAGAGAGAAGCAGCTGCTAAGTGCATTCAGTCAGATGTCCCTGACTTGTCCTCTTCACACAGGGAAAAGATTGCAGAATTAGTCACCTCCCCTTTTTTTTCCCCACCTCCTTAGGTCATTTGTGATCACAGCATCCAAGAGCATCAACAAGTATTTTAAAATGTCACCTTCACTGTGGCAGAAGAACACTGTTTATGTGCTGAGGAAATAGATAAAAAAATATCTGGATCAGGCAGCCAGAACATCAACACCCTCAACCTGACTGAGCATCTCTGGGCAAACCCAGCTCCCCTGGAACACCACCTGAACTGTCCTTTGCAAGGCAGTCTCAGGGAAACAGAGCATCTCAGAGCCTGCAGCTTTGGAGAGGGCTATTAGACAGTGCTGATGGCTTTAAAGACTGCTGGAGGTGGCAAGGGTTGGGTGGGCAATGTAAGGGACTGGCAGTGCCTGAAAAACTAAGGAAGTCAAAACACCTCTGCTCCCTGCTAGACTAGCTCCTTTTCCCTGACATCTCTGACAGAGCTCAGCACCTCTGCAAACCAGGGCCCAGCCCAGCACAAAAACAGGCACCTAGGAAGCTTGGGACAGTCCATGCAGCTTTCCACTACAGCAGCCTATTCTTAAGTTTTCAGTACCCTCAGCTTTCGCACACTCCACAGTGGGTTTCTTCAATTGCCTCCATGTGTGCGCTCTAAACTGGGGCTAACAGAAAAAAAGGCAGAGTCTGATTCTGCACAACCCTTTATCTCACCAAGCAGCAGCAAAGCTTATGCCCCAAGTTTGCAGCTCTAGTATACCTACAGCAATACAAAACCAGGCAGAGCTGCCCATTTACCACTTTTGACACACTTACTTAGCACACACCAGGGGTGAAAAGAGCTGCCAGAACGTGTGTCCAGATCAGCCTGCTCCTGGCTATGCTTTGTAGCCGGAAGGTACAAATGGATGAGAATAGCTGCCTGCGTGAACTGTTTATCGGCACTCCGGAGCGTGGCTGTGTCGTGACGGTTCGGTACTGGGTTTGGGAGCAGGGAGCAGCCTGACCCAGCTCTCCTTCCAGCTCAGGCTTGTGGGCTGCTTGCATTTAACCCTCAGCAGCGTTTGCATGCTGCTCTGTGGCCCAGCCCCAGGCTAGAGTACAGCTGTTTGGATATTACTGTGGCACACTGATGCTTTTTGAGGCACATGAACTAAACCATGGAGGAGGGGTTTTCAGTATTTCAGCCCCAATTAAAGCTGGGCAGATTTCAAGGGACACAGCAAAACTCTGACCCCCAGATTCAAGTTTCAAAGGTGTGTGGCACATAGTGGATACACTGAAGCTTCCCAAAAGGTTACAAAAATCCCTTTAAATTTGTGGGACACTTCAAATACATATATTGTAACAATCAACCCCCTTCCCAATAGCATCAGCCTAGACTCACAATAGCACTGGGTTGTATTTGAAATACAAAGAGACATGCAGGAATTTCATCCTGAAATTTCCCTCCCTGAAACACATGTTCTTGGAGGTATCCCAGAGCTTATGAGACATCTTAAAACAAATGTTCACGCCAGGCAGGGAACAGAAAGAGCGCCAAGTTACAGAAGTTATCAGCTTCCTAGGGGGTTATGAACATCCTAGGCTTGCAAAGCTATTCCCAGCATCTTGATTCATCAAGCTTTGAGGATGCACAGGAAGAGTGGTTTTGAACATTGCAGCACTGTGTGCAAAGGGGGCAGAGCTCTACTCCCAAAGGCCCCATTTCTAAGAGGTACTGACATTTATGACATCTCCTGAGAGAGCTGGTTCTCTGCCAGCATGCACTGCTGGAAAACAGGAAGGAGATAACAGCTGATGAGAAGTCCAAACATTTTGAACATCATTTTGAACATTACTGAACTCTGTTCATAGGCATAGAAACTGTCATTTCCAGATTGACAGGCAGAAATAAAGTTATGCAGTAGAGTTTCTGCAAATGCCATTCCAAAACACTAGGTATTTAATATACAGACAATTTTTTTTTATATATACACAAATGAAAAAAATACTAAGCCAGTATGCACCTCCATCCAGTTTGCCATCAAATTATCTGTAAGCACCATGTCTTTCTGTGTCTAGGTCACATGAGAAAATACTGTCCTCCTTCAAGGAGGGTTAACTGCTCTTATGTTCTTTAAGTAGCTGTTACCAACTTGACAACAAGCAGCACAACACTGAAGAACCTCTTTTTTGTTGCAACCACAGTGTCATCACATTGTACCTTCACGGGCTCCCTTAACCATGGCTCTGCTCATAGTAGCAAGCTCCACTTGTTTTCTCTTCTACCAAATTCACAGACAGCTGTGAGGGGTTGGAACATGGCTTCTTTTAGAGACAGTAAGAGATGTCAGTTGGCCAAACTGATTAACCTAATCACCAAAGGATGAAATGGATCTTCCATGTCCTGGCTGAGCTGAAACTGAGCTGGTCCTAAACACCAACCTGATGCAGAGCTAAAAAGCATTTCTAACATAATGTAAAAATGACACAAAACCAAGCTATGGTCTCAGATAATACCACAGATGGAAGTATGTGGTATTTTGTGTGCTGACATAAAAGAGAGCATTTTACATACTCAGAACATAAACCACAGGAGCACAGTTGAGCCTCGATCTCTGTGAGTAAAATTCACAGATAAGCAGA